CCTTGCTCCCTCCCTTTCTCCCTCCCTCCCTCACTCCCTCCCTCCCTCTCTTGCTCCCTCCCTGGCTCCCTTTCTTCCTTCCTTTTCTCTAGTTTTCCTATTGTTACTCCCTTGGTCAAGACCTCCCTTTTTTTCCCTTCTAGTTCATCTACAACACATCTGCTGCCAAAATGACCTTTTGAAAGCAAAAACTATAGTCCTCAGCTTGAAACACATTATGGTCAAGAACTGTAGTTGTGTAATATTCTTGATTCAGTTTCCTCTCTGCCTGACAGCACAGTCGATTAAAGCTCGTGGGATCACTGAGAGGGCCAGAGAGCACTGTTCTGAAGCTACGCAAACAGGACACTGGCAAAGCTGATGCTCCGGTGCCATCTGCAAAGATCAGGACTTGTATCAGAAGCCCCTGCCCTAGCTAGCACAGACTGGCCAGCATGTGCCCAAGCCCTGTGCAACAAAACCATATCTCATATCTGTTCCCCAATTACAAGTGAGTTGGGGGATGTAAAATGTTTCACTTTTACCCTGGAATTGTGAGGTTTATAAAATGTACAAAGGGAGAAGAGTTAAACCTTTGAATAAGTGGATCTATGCTACAGTTAGCCACTAAAAGTTCCCTCTTGACTTCCTGTTTCTGTGAACTTCCAAATGATAACAGCAAGCTATCACCTCACCACACAGCTTTCCCATATATACAGGACATGCATGCCGCCTCCTCCAAAAGAGATAAAGCCCCAGGATTTTTGAATGATGGTTTTGGTTTTTGTTTTTTGGTTCCCCTAATTCATTCATACCCACTTTTGTTAACTTGTTGACTAATTTGCAGCGTTATTACCAACACATTTTAAATAAAACAAAATGGAAACAGTGAACACCCATCGTTCATGTAGCTGGTACAGTAAGGACACGTGGGTAGAAGCTGCCATTCTGATTTTTGTGATGATGAAACATGATACTTGTTTCCTGTTCCCTGTGTCTTAGCTGATTAGTAGTCTTCACTTTGTTTCCTTAGGTAGTTATTGAGACTTTGAGCCATCAGACAATCAGTGAATAATATGGCTATTCAGAAGAATGCTGGGTAAGCCAACTGCCCAGTACTAGAGACTTTGGAAAGTCTCGGGTGGACCTGTGGGACACTGAGCCCAAGGGGAACTCTTCTTCCCCAAGGAAGCCTTCCCCAGC